TATTGGGCAAGTAACAGGAAACAGATGAAGATAACTGATTACTGTACTCGTATCTAGGTACAGTAAGGCACAACAATTGATGTAATCTACTGTAATTTGGTGAGTGGGCCTACCTTTAATATACAGTATTAGTGCGGTGTGTATTGTCAGTGAAAAGCGCTGTAATATGTCTTTGATATTACAAATGCAACATTTTAACTCGGTTTTTGGTAGATTTTTACGTGACTAACATAAGGCTACTGTGGAAGTGCCCATTTCGGTTACAACGACATTCGTTTATAACGACACTATTTTTAGGTCCCTTTGATGACGTTATAACCAAGTTCTACTGTATATGCGCCATAGCTCAAGCGGTTAATTGTTGGCTTCCCACCGCAGCGGCCTGGGTTCGATCCCGGGTCTTGTCAAGTGGGATTTGTGGTGGACAAAGTGGTGCTGGGGCAGGTTTTCTCCGAGTACTTCGGTTTCCCCTGTCTATCTTCATTCCACCAATTGTTCCACAGTCACCCTCATCTATCATCTGGGGCTGGTACAATAGGCCAGAAGTGGCCGCAGTACAAGGGACTTAGTCCCATCCCACTAGCAATAAAATAAAGTATATGAATATATCATCAGCATCTCTACGAGTAAGTTACCTAAAGCAGAAAACCCAGGGAGAGATATTAAGCACAACAAATACTATCAGTTTGGGGGAAAACATACGAATAACCATCAGGGCTTGAACTGATGAAAAAATGTGGTAAGACCAAGAGTACTGTGCATGTGGCAAATTATGTGTATATATTTTTCTTTTTGACCATATGTAACAAAATGTTGGACAGGCACCTATCTTCATAGAAAGCAGGAAATGAACATGAAATAAAATTGTGGAATTCACACAATCTGAAAATTTTAATAAACTTTTATTTTAATTCTAGGTAAGAATTTTAATTTGTCACATTTTGAAAACTTGCAAATTTCTAAAAAGAACGAACACTCTGCATGAATGAAAATGGTTATCATCATGGTTGGCTATGGAGACAGCAGATCTGCTCATAGATAAACTTGGAAATGGCAGTGAACAAATTAGTAACACTTGACTCTTAACATTTACACAATCTCTCTTTAACACTTATCAAATTATGTCTCTCTACACAATCAAATTGAAAGCAATTTAAAATATTTTATATTACAGGGGCCAGAAGATCCAAAGCCATCCTATTCATTTGAAATGACAACTTCTTTCTTCACAATTGATAACAATGGTTATCTCACAGTTAATGTAGAAAATCTTGACAGAGATCCACCTAGTCCAGGGACATTCAGATTCCAGGTAGTTATTACACAGAATTTCACTTATTGCTTGTTAAAACTTATGCCACAAAAGTATGAGTAAATGCACCGGTATGCTGAATGAAAGAACAGACAGTTACAGATATAAAGTGCATTTGAAATCTGGAAAGCAGTCTTAAGTGTACAACATTAGTCAGTATTAAACAGGTAAAATTTATTCTGAAGTGAATAGGAAATAGTTATCCACTTTGTCCCATCTTCTGATTTACCTTGGTGTTAGAGATATCAGAAATGTTTTAAATGGGGGTTGGAGAACAAACATCAGAGAAGGAGAAGAGATGAAGTAACATACATATATTGGTACAATAGCCCAGAAGTAGCTGCAGTACTAGGGACTTAGTCCCACCCCACTAGCAATATAAAGAGACACATATACAGCAATACCTCGCATAGTCCAGCTTTGATTAGTCCGGATTCACTATAATCCGATTTGAAAATTTCAAAACAAACTAAATTTTAATGGAGCAAAATAAAAAGACATTCTAAAGAATTAGTACACAAAATTATTTTTAATATATAAATGATCTTTTTTTTTCCTTCATACAGTCAAGTCTCTTTTTGTGCAGTTTATTTTTATGTGGTTTTAAAGTTATGCGATACGATACATATTCAGTTTTTTCTGGGGTTTCCTGTTGTATGTGCTCAGGTCGTTCGTTCTTGAGCTCTCACAGCTATCGCTGGAGGAGGTGAGGAGAGCACTACTTTAACGGAATTTTGGAAGAGCTACAACATAAGAAACGTTATTGAAAATAAAGGCGAAGCATGGCTTGAATTAACGGCAAGCAATATGAGGGCAGTATGGAAACGTATCATACCACATTGTGCAAATGATTTCATCGGTTTTGAAACTCATTTTACTGAAGTCGCTAATAACATAGTGGAAATTGGACAGCAACTTGGTTTCAGTGAGTTAGATTCCGTCAACATAATTGAGTGCATCAAATCGAACACTAATGAACTAGATAATGAAACACTTATTAACACAGATGAACAAAGGGCTTATGAAGAACGTGAGGACAACTTAGACAACGACGACTGCGTTGAAGTGCCTGCACGAGAATTAACAGCTGAACAACTATAAAAAATTATTGGAATCGTTGAAACCTTGTCAGAGCATATTATGGAAGTTGATCCCAATATTGAACGTAGCCTTACAATTTGCCGAACGATAAACAATGCAATTCGTTGCTACAAAGAAATGTATGAAGAGAAAAGGCCAAAGAAGAAAAATGTGCAGACATCAATATTGCAATTTTTAGAGAATAAAAAATGAATAGCGAAAAACATGAATTTTTTAAAATTATTTCTAATAAAGACATTTGAACTTATTTATTGCGTTTTATTTACCCGGAGCATTTTTTTTTGGAACTAATTATCATTTTTATATGTATTTGGTTACTTGATTAGTCCGGTTTCAAACAGTCCGGAATATTGGCGGAACCGATTACACGGACCATGCGAGGTATTGCTGTATATAAATCTGGGTGTTTGCATTTTACTTTAATTTGTACATTCAGATCAAGAAGGTAACAATATTGGTTACTGCATTTTAAAAGTTTCACATTCATATACCTTGATGAGACCACTGTTCCTCTACTGTTCAAATGGTGCTTGAACCAAAATCCTAGCAAGTCTGGGATAAACTTGTGACACCCACTTCTGTATAAACACATTCTTTTCTCTCAATGGGCTGGTAGGATTTATAAATTATTATCCACATTTATAGCAACTAATTTATGTGTTTTCTTTCCCTTGTTTCTTTATTTATCTGTTATTCTTTATCAGATTGTTGCCAGAGAGAAGACGGGAAGTGCTGCCAGTGCTCCTCTCTCTATGTCAGTCTCCCTCAACGATGTAAATGACAATGCACCAAAATTACCCATGATACCACCCTTAACAATACAAGCAGGAGAGAATAAGCAGTCTGTGACCAAGGTATTACATTATTTCAAAGACAATTCAAGTAATTTTAATTTAAAAGAAAGTTGATATATTCTGGTAGAGTAATGGTGAATACGTGGCCGCGCCATGGCTCAAGCGGTTAGTCACTGGCTTCCCACCGTGGTGGCCCGGGTTCAATCCCGGGTCTGGTCAAGTGGGATTTGTGGTGGACAACTACTTTGGTTTCCCCTGCCAATCTTCATTCCACCAATTGCTCCACAATCGCCCTCACCCACCATCTGGGGCTGGTAAAATAGGCCAGAAGTGGCCGCAGTACAAGGGACTTAGTCCCACCCCACTAGCAATAAAAAGAAATAATTGTGAATGTATGAGACTGGAGGTTGACTCTTAGTCTCCAGCATCTTGTACATCAAAGTCATATATCAGTGTTATTTGCAGTAGTCTTTCCATGTAGATGATTTGTTATTGTGGTTATAAGTACTGTATTGCAATTGCAGTAATTATCTGTATGAGTGAGAATATTTCATCCCATCTTCAATGATTTTAAATGCAGTATAAGAAATTCATTCTCTTTATTACATGCTGTAACATGCTGGTATTAATACAGTTGAAATCATGTTTATTAAAACGAGATAAACAAACACAGATATAGACACAATGAAAAGAAGAACTTGCTACATGTCTTCCTGTATATGCCTGAAGTTTTACGTGATGGTGTTGAAAAATTGTCCCCTCATTGAATATATAAGACGCATTAATCTCTTTATTTTCTAGGTTGAGGCTACTGATGCTGATTTAGGTGCCAATGCAGAGATAACTTACAGTATTTACCATGTTTCAAACAATGGTAGACAGAAATTTAAAATAGATCGCAAAACTGGTCTCATTGAAACAACTGGAAAATTAAATGCTGGAGAACAATACAGCATAACAGTTCAGGTGAATGTATGACATATTTAGTGCAAAGCTTTCTCAATTGTAATTACAGGTATAACATCCTTTTATTTAGTGTAATCTATCTCTCTCTCTCTAGTCTGATAGACAACCAAAACTGACATCTATGGCCCAAAATTGTTCCTTGTCCATGCGTATTTCCTTGGTTGGCTAACATGTGATGCATATTTATGAGAAGGGCAAGATGAGGTGGGGAGACAGCTGCACAAGGCAATTTTTTATAAAAGGCATAGAATCCAAGCTGATGAAGATGTATAATTAAATTTAAAAACAAGAATAGTGTTTTAAACTTTACAAATGCATGTGTGCGCACACACATGCACACACACAAACACATATGTGCACACATAAACTTTACTCACTCGATTCTAAGGAAAGAGCTGATGAGGTATATTGATCGTGGATCATAAAAAAGATGTAAGTAAATGTAATATACCGTGTATTAGTATTACAACATAGAACTGATTTTTCAGATTATATATAACACTATAGCAATATACTTACAGGCTACTGACACAGGAGGAAAATATTCTCAGACAATCGTGGAAGTGACAGTAGTACCTGGTCCTAATACTAGAGGTCCCATATTTGAGAATCCAGTGTATGAAGTACAAGTTAGTGAAGGAGCATCCATCAATTCAACAGTAACAACTGTCAATGTAAGTTCAGATCCAGCCTCTATGCACAATATATATATATATATTAATCACTTCATTTATAAATTTTTATTTAGTTAGAAGCATAATACACAATTTTAATAGTATGTATCCTGTTGTGTGTTATAAAAAAGGTACATAAAATGTATACAAAAGTATGCAGTCTACACAACAATATTCTGTACTTAAAAAAAGTAGACACTATTGTACCAACATTTGTTTTTATTGACAGTACATGTTTTGACCCTTATACATGGTCATCTTCAGGCATACAATAGTTAGATGCAATTCAACAACTGAAACTGGTATCATTGTACTCATGATGATGACCCAGTATAAAGGTCAAAACATGTAGCATCAATAAAAGCAGATGTTGATACAATAATATCTACTTTGTTTTAAATACAGAATATTGTTGTGAAGACTGCATACTTCTGCATACATTTTATAATACACAATTACAAAGTAGCTGGAGCTGGGACATGGTAGCCACTGTCTATGAACAAAAAGTATAATTAAATTTCATGGGAATAATTGGCTGCCTTTCCTCGGAAATTGCTTGTTTAATATGCAGGGATTTGTCTATCAGCTGTACAGTACTTGGCCCCATGATTAAACAGAGATACTGTAGATGTGAGGACATACCAGTGAATTCAGTTACATTCAGGCTCACAGCTAAATACTTATAATATTTTGTATCATTCCTACTACTGCTACTAGTGTCATGATTAATACTGATAGAGGTGTTGTTATTTTTGTAGGCTGTAGATCCAGAAAATGACCCTGTTACATATTCAATTCTCTCTGGAAATGATCTCAGGCAATTTGCAATTGGTGATAAATCAGGTATTATTACCATCATCAGGAAATTGGACCGAGAAGATCTGACAAGATACCAGTTGGTATGTACACTCAGTGAAACATAATTTCCTGAATTTTAGTATTTCTATATTTAAATACTCCTTCTTTCTATTTTCATTCAATCTTATATACTGTACATTTTCTTTTGTGCAAAAATGTAAATATCATCTAAATTTCCTTAATCTGCGTCTAAGTAAGTAGTGGATAAGATGTGAACAAATCTTTGAGTTAAATTAGGTAAGACTTTAAGCATATCTCAAGAAAAGTGACTAGGCAGCACAAAGCTACTGTCAGTAAACTTTAGTGTTCTGTAATAACTGTGGTAGCAGGTGGGTTGAAGGCAAAGAGGCAGTTGTAGGTGCTGGTCTGGAGTGAACAGTGTACAGACCACCTTCTTTCAGAAAGTCTTCCATGGAAGTGCCTTTTAAACATTTTTCCAAGGGTTCTGCTGAGTTATTAAAAAACAGATTTATATTAAAATCAGCAGAATGTTCCAAAATGTTTAAATTCGAACAAGAAAAAATGATTTCTTTGTTATGGTAAAAATGTATATAATCACATATTAGTTATTTTCAGTTCATATACTTACATTCCAGATTTAGAAAGTAGAGAAGAGAGGTGAAGAAGACTGAGATTCTGTGCAGTATCACAGATAGTATTATAGGATTCCAAGCAACAAAATGTTGATGAACACTGGCATACATGAATTATTGGGATCTGATGAAGTGAACTCTACAATGCTTCAATAAGCATCATTCTGTAATATAATTATTGTGTTTTTGCACATTAGCCATTGTAAAAAAAAACAATAATTTTATTAATATGCCATCATCAGAAAGTATTAGGTATTATTATATATTGCAAAACATACCCTGTACATTTTGATCCTTATTTTTGTCACTATTTCTGCCACAACAGATCATACCTACAACTATCACTAGCACATCCAGTGTATGCTGGTAATTCATTAGAGTTTGAATTTGTTTAAAATGTCAGTTTCTACTTTTGAAGAAACCAACAGCCTCCAGTGGCATAATATTCACAACAGATTTTATGAAAATCAGACAGTTTGTTTAAAACTGCTTTGTTGGCAGAACAATATTTCAGTTCATAGCATTTCCAAGCATAACATTTAAAATTTAAATCTGGATGACAAAGTAAAAAATAAAACAACCTAAATATGTGTTCTCTAGTTTCTTCATACTTTTAACTTGGAAATCTTAAATTATTACTAAAACAAGCAAGATATCATATTGTCCAGTGGAGCATAGTGCAAGCATTGCAGCCTAGTGAAAGAAAAACATGTATGGCAGGATAAAAAACTGCCTACAATATGGAACAGGAAACCTACAAAAGTGTCTGTGATCTTTGTTTGACAGGTAATAAAAGCAGAAGATACTGGTGGTTTGTCCAGTACTGCAACAGTTAATGTCAAAGTAACAGATATTAACGACAAGAATCCAGAATTCACAGATCTTCCATATGTGTTTCGAGTCTATGAAGGTGAAGCTAACAAGAAGGTTGGCAGTGTGCATGCTGTAGATGCTGATGAAGGACAGAATGCAGTCATATATTACTCAGTTCCTGCTGACATTCCATTTAGCATTGATGCCATGACTGGTGAAATACGGACTAAAATGGCTCTTGACTATGAAAAACAGAGGGTAGGTTCACAAAAATTCCCAGGTTATTATAGTACACAATTTTAAAAATATCATTACAGTATTCTTTAATTACCATAGTTACATGAATATGAGTCAGAATCAGTAAACAGAACAGAAAAAAACAGAGATCATTTCATTTCATTTAATTTATTCAACTTCCATAAATCCTGCCGAGAATACATTCTCATGTGGATGTGGAGAAATTAATTTATCTCTTTATTTATCATATTTTATATATCAAGTTCATTGATTGCTTTGCAGGAATACAGGTTTGTGGTAACAGCTAAAGATGGAGCTTCTGATCCCCGTATTGCAACTGCCACTGTAACTGTTGAAGTTGTTGATGTGGATGATGAGTTGCCAATTTTTCACCTGACAAGTTATGAAGCCCAAGTTCCTGAGAATATGCCAGATTACATGGTGACACAAGTTAAGGTAGGAATATTAAAACTCATTTTCAGAACTACTAGTAGTGTACTGTCAGTTTGTTCGTTTTTGACTGTGTCCTAAAAATAGGTGATGCCATCAACAAATCTTCATCAGACTTTCAAGTTTACTCTGTGCAGTGTGCCTTAGTGTCAAGGTGAACTGTCAGCATCAAGCTCCAGGATACTTGAAAGGGAACTACAGTAAAATAAAAAAAAAAAATCCCCTGTTAACACTGATATTATATGTTGAGTTTAAAGTTGTCTCGTCTGCTGTCCGAAAACATAAAATTTAGAATATACAAAACTATAATTTTGCCTGTGGTTTTGTATGGGTGTGAAACTTGGTCTCTGACATTAAGGGAGGAACATAGACTGAGGGCATTTGAGAACAAGTTGGTGAGAATATTTGGACCAAAGAGAGATGAAGTGACAGGAGGTTGGAGAAAACTGCATAAGGAGCTTCATAACTTGTAGTCTTCTCCAAGTATAATTAGAATGATCAAGTCAAGGAGGATGAGGTGGGCAGGTCATGTAGCACGAATGGGGTAGACGTGGAATGCATATAGGATATTGATGGGAAAGTCAGAAGGAAAGAGACCACAAGGAAGGCCAAGGCGTAGGTGGGTGGACAATATTAAAATGGATCTTAGAGAGATAGGATGGGATGGTATGAATTGGATTGATCTGGCTCAGGATAAGGACAAGTTGAGGGCTCTTATGAACATGGTAATAAACCTAAGAGTTCCGTAAAATGCTGGGAAATTCTTGAGTAGCTGCAGATTTGGCTTTTCCTCAAGAAGGGCTCAGTTCCATAAGTAAGTAAGGGTTTGAGGTTGTCACATCAGTGACTATGTAGAGTTATATTTCCTGGAATATAACATCCTACTGACTTTTACCAAGCTACATGACATTATATCCCAGAAGATGTACGTCTTCACTACTCTGCATGAACTGTAGGCACGAAGATTCAGGACATTTAAAATTAAATAACAGTAAATTTAAATAGCTCCCTCATTAACACCAATTTCATAGTTATATAATTTTTTCTATTGAATTTTTATGTAATATTTGTTTTATCATATAAGCATAAAGAAGTGGCATGCCATGTTTTATCAATATAAGACCTGAATTTTGTTGTTGTTATTATATAGGAATTAGAAACGTTTATTCATTTTGTTTATTACCAGGCTGATGATCCAGATACAAATCAAAAGATAACATATATCATCAAACAGGGATCTACAGAGTTATTTTCTATTGATCCCAAAACTGGTATCATAATTACTACTAGGGGCCTAGATTATGAGAAAGAGAGTCAATATATTTTGGTGGTGGGGACCTTGGAGAATCCAGGGACAGGGCCTGGAGCAACAACAAGGGTCATCGTTAATGTCTTGGTAAGTAAATAATTGATTTTATTTAGAGAATATTCATAGATTTAAAATCTGATGGAAATGAAAGTAACAGCAATAGTATTTCTTTCTGATTTTTTACCATCAGAGAAAGTAAAAATTAAGCTTAAGTGTCACCATCATGAAGGCATACAGATAATTCTTGACCTTAGCACTAGATAACCTCACCACGTCCTGTAACCCGATTGTCTAGAAAATGTGGGATCCTCGACATCTCACAACCCTATGGGCCTTCACAGCTTGATACAGGGATAGTTTTACCTTTTTATACTTTAACACTAGATGGAGATGATGTATTTAACACATAAAAATATGATTATACCTACATTTGTCATAATGGCTCAACATTTTGTCCCGCTATACTTGCGCTATTAAAACCCAAGGATTCCCCTCAAGTTGCTGAGTACTGTGGTGTGGTAATAAGCAGTCATTCTTTGTATTCTGAAGGAACTCAGTTCTAATCTCAGTTGGTTCACCAGTTTTCCTGACTGAGTCTTCATCCATCATTAAGTAGACTATTACTACTTCCTTCCTACATTCTCTGTCCTAACAACTTAACACTCACAATTTTACAAAATTAAAAAAGTATGGTGTCAATGAAATAATTAATGCAACAACAGAGCATACTGAGTCCGAACTATTATTGATATTCTTTTTTTTCTTCTTTCTTCCCCCCCTTTAGCGCTAGAGCCCCAATTTGGGCCTTGGCCTACCTCCATGAAACTCTCCGTTTTCATTTCGGTTTACTAGAGCTTAGATATTCGGTAGGACTCCTTGGGCAGATGATCAGCTCGTTGCAAGGCCTATACTTGTACACAAACACAGAAAAACGCACACCAATCATCCATGCCCTAAGTGAGATTCGAACCCATGATCCCGGATTCCAAGTGAGCGAAGACAGTGCATGCCTTAGACCGCTCGTCTACCGTGACCGGCATTGATATTCTTTATACTGGATTATAGAGTGGGATATATAAGCTCTTGCTCATTAATGGACTTCTGTCTGTTTCTAATTTAGCCCTCTAACATACCCACAATTTGAATGAAACCCAGTAGCGGCTGCTGTTGTTATAAAATTACTGAAGTATGCAGCCACTTGATCAAGCATGCACTTCTTTAGTCTGTGGATTCCCTTTCTCCTGTTCTCCATTATAAATAGCATGTTTTTATAATTAATAAATATACAGCTCTGTTTCCTCTAATTTGTTTATTACCTGCATTATTACAGGATCGTAATGACATTCCTCCTGTGTTTACCGCTGTGCCTCGTCCAGTAACACTGAATGATGATGTGCCTATTGGAACAACTGTTACTACATTGATAGCAACTGATTCTGATGGTACATCTCCTGGGAATAAGGTACATTCAACAATTTTAAGAATGTGTAATACCAAACACCCAGTTATACAGGGGTATATTTATTTTTTCTTTATGTGACTGTAAACCATTATTAGACCTGGAACTTGTCAATGAATAACTCAGAAATCTGTGACACGAGGAAGTTATAGGCCAAGTATCAGATTACATTTTGTAGCTTGTAGTACTGTTACAATTCTGTGAAATGTCTAAAATACAGTGTAGTTACATAGTATATTTAAAAGCATAAAATAAGTGAGCACAGTTTTTTACCGTGAGATAAATACTCATTGAAAATGATTAAATTGTTCAAGTTATTTGTTTTCAGGTACGTTATGAACTTGTTGGTCGAGGAAAGGCCCAGAAGTATTTTCAAATTGATTCTGACACCGGTGTTATTCAAGTAAGAGACGATCTTCGGAAAGAAACAAGCACAGAATATGAGGTACATAAATAAATTTTATTCTTCTCAGAAGGCATTGCATAAATATGAATATTTAACACAAAGTACTTCAAATCAATATGACATTTAGAGATGCTTCTGTCAATTTTAATTAGAGAAAAAAATTGCCAAAACACTGAGCAATATTAAAATGATAACATTTTATAATTTTCCTTAGGTTGAGTAATTCTCTGACTTCGGAGCTTTTGTGTCATCTATGTGCAACATCAATCACTATTCTTTCTTTGTATTCTTTTATTGGACATTGCATGTTTTGGCCTAACTGGCCACCTTCAAGTGTACAGGTTTTTAAGGCTAGGGATAGTGCTGCTCACTGCAATGCAGCTTTCTTTCCTTCTATTGTAGTTGCCTCTGGTTATTTTTGTTATGTGGGTTACCATCACTTTCATTTGTGTGTCCTTGGGTTGCACTGATGATAATCCACATAACCAAAATAACCAGAGGCAACTACAATAGGAGGAAGAAAATCCTATTACAGTAAACAGCAGTATTCTTAGCCATAACAATCTGTACACCTGGAGATAGTCAGTTAGGCCAAAACATGTAATGTCTAATAAAGGAATATGAAGAAAGAATAGTGCATGATATTGCACGTAGATGGCACAAAAGCTCCCGAGTCAGAGCTATACAGTGCAACAGGATAGTGAAATATAACATATGAGTACTTCTGGTTAGCAGAAACGACAATACAATTGAATAAGGAAAGGAACTAATTTTTCTACTGAAATAAAAGTACCTATTTTTTTCTGGGAACAAATCTCTAACAAATGATATATGCAACTCGATTTATATAGTCAGATTACATTATAAACCCTGATTCTGGGTAACTTTGCAGATTGCTGTTAAGGCTTATGACCTGGGAGAACCGCAACTATCATCTGTCACTTCAGTTCATGTATATGTGCGACATGTAGCTACAGTTCCACCAGATCAAGGAATTGGTTTTGCAGATAATTTTTATACTGTAGAAGTGCCAGAAAACGCAACCACTGACACACTCATCAAAACGCTGACCATTATAAACAACAGAGCTCATCAAGATATCATTCCATTGAAATGTGACATCATTCAGGGAAATGAAGAAGGCAAGGATATTTAATAATTCTCCTGTTACCACAGACTCTTAATGAACTTACATAATATGTGCTCTTTTGCTAATTCTGCTGTTAAAATTTCAGGCTTATTTTATACTAGTATCACAGAAGATCGTAACTGTGACCTAAGATTGAAAGTGGCAAACCTTGATCATGAGAAGAAGAGTGAATATCAGCTTCAGATGAAACTGGATACATTATCAGGCCTTGTCAATCCATCAAGGAGCATTGCAACAGTAAGCTCACGTTTTCCATGCTACACATTAAAACATTCCTTGGTCTTGAGACCTGGAGAATAATTTATGTTTATTTTTTTATGTGATGGCTGACATAATGTACAAGCAAGTATATACTTGTGGCCTAATAATTTCTGGCAACGTTTCATTGTATTTGTTCACTGCTTCCATCCTTCCTTTGCTTCTCCTCAAAGGCTGATTCACGATAATATTCAACTCATAAATTATGAGTACATACTCGTATGACATTAAATATTAATACTTCATTTGCAATGAAATATTATTTTTAAGATATATGTTTACACTTGTTATGGAAAAAGCAATAGGTTATTCTGTTTTTATCAGAAATAGTGCCTGAATGCAATACTAGTACCTAGCCCTGAAGAGATTAATATTTTATATATTTCTTATGGTTCTAAGTTTTGATATGGCAACCAACATCAGAAATTTTACTTCATAGTGCTCTTATTAATAGTGAAGAATATCGCCATTATCTGTAATATTTCTAGTCAAAGTAATCTTCGTCTACAGGTTAAAGTCAATGTTGTGGATGTGAATGACAACAGACCACATTTCATCTTCCCCAATGCAAAATTTAATGGAAAATATTTTGGTGCATTACCAGTGGATTCACAGATTGGAACTATTGTGCTTCAAGTGAAGGTAAGCGGTTTAATTACAGTCTGTTTGCAACAATGATTCTTACATCTGTGGTGAGTGTAAAATAAATCCATCAACAATGCAGTTAGAGTATGCAGTCCAGGTTCCAATTTTGAGCATTATTTTCATTCACACTGTTTTCTGGTAAGTTGCTTATTGTTAAAATGATGTAGATAATATCTTCTGCAAGAAATCCACCATTTATGGAAACATCTTAATCTTGCTAATTTCCTTTTTTCCCTACCCAACCACAGGCTGTCACACTGTCTGAAGTAGATTAGGTTGTTGCAGATCAGTTGAATGTCTTTGTTGTTAATTCTCATAAATTTTTGTTAGAATATTTCTATGAGCATGGGGCAAATTGATCATGACAATGCAGAATGGCTTTGAAAATTTGCCTAAAAGATTAAGCTACAGGTGGACTATAAGGAACCACAAAATTTTGGATTCTCGTTCCCTGAATTTTGCAATTACAGGTTCCAGTCAAAAATAAACATTGGTGAAAAGATACGCCAAATATACCTTTGTATTTTGATGTTCTATTTTATGATAGTGTGTAGTCTAGTAGGTGAGTGAAAGTGCTTTCACAGGAACATACTGCTTCTGTATCGAATGTAAGATTTAAACCCTGAAACTTGAGGAATTGTATTTCTCTGTAACATTTTTACCTCCCACCAGGCTACATGATATCATAACCCAGAAAATAATCAAATTTGTTGTCACAGCCTTGAAAGTCCCTAAATTTTACAATGGTGCCAAATTTCACAAATTTATTTTATGCCATGCCATATATAGGCTGTGTCAAATTTAGGATGAAATAATAGACTATGTTCCACTGATTTAGATGTGACAAAGTATAAGAAATTATCTGATTACAATCGTCTTTCAATTATCTGGCCATGGTGTATCTGAGTTTAATATGACTGTATTAAATATAATTCTGAGAAGGTTTCATTTTTTGTGAATTGTTCTGATATTAAATTCCCAAAAGCCTACGGGTAATGAAATTTCATCTCTATGAGTAGTGTGTATGGCCTATAGCTAATACTTAAAGGTGAAGAGATTGTAGTATATGCTGTAGTGAAACAGGAACCAGACAGTCATGATACCATTAGTTATTTTGAAATCTGTTTGCAGTTATTTCAAAATCTGTCATCAGTCATTTTAAGCAACAAAATATAACTGATAAAGTAATACTTTGAATCTCTATACAATAAAACTGTAAAGATGCTGCATGGAATTATGGCACCATAGTGCACCAATAGAGCATTGCATATGCTGGTTACAGGTAGAATTCATTGTCTTGTAGGTGGATCTACAAACATTAGTCTCTCTGCCATCAGCTATTAGTATATTCATAAAAAGTAATTGTTTAAAAGAGCTTCCTGAAATCTGTACTTTGTGGCTTTTCATTATTGATGTTTTGATATTAAGGTTTGATTAAGAGTGCATGGAACCTCTCGCATAAATATATGAATGCAAGTGTGTCAAATCTCACATAGGAAATGCCCATATTCTCACAAGAACAGATAATCAAGAGTTGACTGCAAACATTTTTTTAACCTCCATTCTTCTTTCACAAAAAGTGAATTAAATTATTAAAAACAAGAATTAAGTTATAATGTCATTAACTTCAGTGGCATATTGCACTTAGTTATCATTCTCTCGTATATAATATTCCTATGTTAATGTTTACAGGCTGAAGATGCTGACAGTGGTAAATATAGCCAGTTATCATACCATATTGTGCCAAACAGCAGTTACTTTAAAATCGATGAAACCTCAGGCATTATCACAACAACAAATACTTTCAGCAATGTGGATCTTAACCAGCTTCCTTTCAAATTTAACGTTGCAGTCAGGGATAATCCAGATTCTTCTTATGACTCATTCACTGTAGAGGCACCAGTTGTGGTAAGTGATAAAGTGTGTATATCATTGTATAATCGATGAACATTTATGTGTGACTTTGTGTATGTGTTTGATGACTAATTCCACATCCTGGGTTTGTTCCCTGTATGGATGTTTATGGAAAGTGGAGGATGTGTATGTATGTATATGATGAGTCCTGTATCAATGTATTTTGATTTATGGGAAAATGATATTAATTTTAAGGTTTTATAGTAATGCACTTTTTAAATTATGTTTAGTTACAATTGTAATAAGCTCTTGTTTTTTTTTTATATTACCTATGTTAGTTAACTGGTGTGTGTTATTTTAGTTGTGTGACTTATGTAATCTATTACATGTATACATTGTATAATCAAATGGACTATTTCCACATCCTAGGAATTTTGCCTGTATGGATATATGGAAAATAAAGGAAATGAAAGAATGAATGAATGTAAATGGTTGAACGATGATTCAACCTATGTAATTATATCATGCAATGAAGTAAGCCCACATTACCTTCAAGTAGTATTGGTATTATAAAGACAGAGCCCTTTTATCACAATTGCGTATGAAACTCATCTTCCATAAAAGTATTCTCTTCATCATAGTTTTCATGTTGTAGCTTATGTACGTACACATAACTACAAGCACTACACACAAATTTCAAAATATGGTTTAAAAGAGAGAGTTGTTCTAGAATACCTTTCATCTTATGAAGTTAGCGTAGTTCAATAAACGGTTATATTACCTAGTATGTTACGGTCATTAAGCCATCTCCAGGGGTGTGCAAATAGTTATAAAAGAAAATTTAAAATTTGGTGATTAATCTTATATAGATTGTTGATCAGGGATAGCTTAGTCAGTATAGCTATGGGTTAGGGTTTGGATGGCTGGGGTTCGATTCCTGGTGGGGCCAAGAGATTTTTCTAAATTTATCAGCATCCATACCAGCTCTGGGCCCCACCAAGCCTCCTATTCAGTGGGTACTGGGAGCTCTTTTCCCAGGATTAATGCAGCCAGAACGAGAAGCTGAATACTCAACTTCATCTTGTACCCAGGTCAAAAATAGTGGAGATGGTGGAGGTGTACTTCTGATCTTCCATACACCTTCATGGTGCGGTGCTTAATTAATTTACTTTTAATCTTATACAAATTATTTAAACTTAGATATAATTATCTACTTTTAGAAAAGTTATCAGTGTCTAGAACATTAAAATGGTATTCATATGTCAATTTTTTTTTTCTTCACAAAATGCTCCACATCCATTAATTATTTTATCTTCGAGGCTACGTATTCTTGATACTGATGTCGTTGCTAATAACCACCTTAAGAAAATTAAAGCAATACAAGGCTAAAAATATGTATTGTACAGTCAGTCAGTCAGTCAGTCTTCATTTTTGTTCACATCTTCCATATGTAGGTTTCTGATATGTGTTTAAACATAATATGGTGTTACCAATGATTTTTTTGTATAAACTGTTGTAATGTATTAATTTATTTTCCAATTACAGCAAATTCTCCATTATTCAGCATATATGGGGAATGGGATCTGACATATTAACCTGCCAGCTTCATGAGAAGAACTCAAATGGAAACCAAATACAGAGTCAAATCAATATGTTTTCACTTTGGTTCTTGTATGGGAGGTTTTGTTAGGCAACATAGCAAATTAAATGAGTGAAAAATTTCAAACACATAATGTAATACAATTATTTATTCAGTGAGACTGTACTGCAATGACTTTTATGTGAGGGAGGACAACAAGTAGAGCAGCTAGTGACACCTGGAAAACTACCATGTGGGGGGTGAACATATGCCTGTTGTAAATTTGTTTTTGAATAACTATGTAACAATTATAACTTATGTTCCAAATTTCTGCTAGATGGTGAGAATCCTGGATCTTTTGATGCTAGATAATCAGAAGTTTACTGTATTAATATTAGTCATGTGTGTTCACTTGTCCTCTAGTGAGAGGTCTGTACTTTGTGGTGTGCTAGGTTAGCTGATTCCCAGTCTGCTTTTAGATGTCATGTATGTGTGGCCACAAGGTGCTCCTAGTGCACGTATATCTGTGGAAGAAATTTTTATATAGAGGTTAATGGTACACCAGAGGGAGTGTTTTGATCTTCAGATTTTGTTTATCAATTAACTGATTTAATTTTGAATATATGTAGAAGTAAAAGTTTTCCTGTACATTCATAATCCAGCCTCTTCTTGCATATTTGTTATCATTATTCTGCAAGAAATTATAGAATTATGAATATAACAGAAACCATCTTGAGCAGTATAATAATTTATTGAGTATAGCACATTGATAGATGGTGCTTTTGAATTCAGCTTTGCTAAAACTAATTTAAGTAATAATAATTTTCCTCTTTTCGTGAAATTCTCCCAGAAAAAGATCCTAACTAACACAAGGGATATCCTTGTAATGGCTGCAGATTATAATAAAAATAACTTTATGAGGATCTCATTAACATTTATACATAGGATTCTGTATGGTCTTTTCAAATTCATATCATGAGGGGATGTCTCTTTGAAGATTTAAGTACAATCATTTGAAAGATAATGTAATCTTGATATAGGGATGAATATAATTTGCAAAGAGATTTACAAAATTTGCACAATTACACTACCGTGGCCTCCATAGCAATGTATTTTTTGCATGTTGACAAGTATGAACCTCTTTTTACCACAATGCCTATAAATATATTATATGTCACAAAGAAGCAGTAATTTGAAAATGGATGATAATTGTCCAGCCATTATCCTCATGCATCACACTACCTTAATCATTTATAACAAAACAAAATTTGCCAAAACTTTCTCCTAGTAATATAAAATACAAAACATATTATACGATAAGATATCTCCTGAACGGTCTATAATATTGGAAAGAAACAGAGGAAAACTGAAAATGTCACAGATTTTTATTTGATATCTAATAGGTGGGAAATATTTGCATGTCAGTCAAGTCAGCCACAGGTCTCAAATAATTTTATGGAACATGTTAAAGTCCCAGCATATTTTTTGGTACCATAATTTTAGCAGTCTGTATCATAGAGGAAGATCTATTTTGATACAAGTAATTGATCTAATAACAGAATATATATTATTGTGTTTCAGATCAACTTGATATCTGATCAAAATCGTTTGATACTAGTCATAGATGATGCCAAGCCAAAAACCATTCAGCATGAGACAAATGGATTAGTTGACATCATGGAGGATAATACAAATTTAGTTATTGGTATTGAGAAAGTTGCAGTTAAGCAATATCTTGGAGACAATGGTACTATTGAACAGGATAATTCTGGAACAGATGTTTGGTTCTATGCGATTGATCCAGATACAGACAAAATCCTTGACAGGAACTCAACAAGGATCCAGAGGTAATGGATTTGTTTCACTAAGGAATGTCGTTAAATTTTCACCCAAGGTATACTATTACAAAATGTTCAGAAATTAAAATTCTACTTATTATATACTTAAGTATACATTTTTTATGCAGTAGCAGATAACACCAAAAATTTATTTCAGTTACATTTTTAAGGATATTACAAGCATATGTTCTGTTTTTGTAGGTCTATTCTAAGTAAGGAAGCTGTCTCCAGAATCACAGTTGATGTGACAGGGAATCTCCACGCTACTGCCTCAAGCATTCACCCACCTTTAACAGTGCCAAAAATAATTACAGCTATTGCTGTTTCATGGGAGGTTTTCCCATATGCACTCATAGTCATTGCTTGTATCATTCTTGTGCTAGGCATAGTGGGTATTATCTACATCTGCATATCATGGTCAAGGTAATTTCTTACATATTTTTTGTCTAATTTGTAATCTTTTGGGTATGAATTTTCCGCATGGTGATCAAACTGGGTGTATGGAATGCCAGAAATTTTTATGAGTAGCAAAAATTGAACTTAGGTTTGTTTAAGACAGAAATCATAACACAAACATCTTACTGGACATGATAAATTTTGTTCATAGAATTCTCTATGTGAATAAAAAATAAATAAAAAAAACAGGGGTATATCAGTCTTTAAAATGTACTAGTTACACTCAAACTATTAACATATAAAACAATGTATATTCTGATTGAAATTATTATTACTTTGAGAAATATTTAAATTTGCTGCTTTTCCATGGTGTATATCTTCAGAATATCCTACATAAATAAGCAGCAGTTCTGTGTTCAACGTTAGTTATTATCTATTATCTTTAAAATTTAATTCTCTTTTAAGGTGATAATAAAATAAGACATACACCATAAATTGGACAAGTTAGACTGTTTAAAATGAGTTGAAAAGAAACATATAGTAAAATCCTTATACATAAACATTTATCTGATAAATTTCCTATCAAAATTGTCTAAAACAAGGAGATGCTATATTGCCATTATTTTTAACTTTGCTTTAAAGTATGTCATTAGGAAGGTCCAGGAAAAACAGGTGGGGCTGAAATTAAATGGGACAAATCAGCTGCTGGTGTGTGCTGATGATATGACTCTACTGGGTAATAACATAGATGCCATAAAGAAAAACAGAGAAACTTTAATTAATGCTAGTAAGATGGTTAGGTTAGAAGTAAACTAAAGAGAAAACTAAGTATATGTTGCTGTCTCATCACCAGAATGCAAGGAAAAACGAGGACAAAATGGTAGCTAACAGATCCTTTTAAAATGATGTACATTTCAAATATTTGGGAACAACAGTAGTAAGTCAAAATTTGATTCAGTAGGAAATTAAGAGGCTATTGAATTCAGGTAATGCTTGCTACCATTCAGTCTAGAAACTTTTGTCTTCTCATCTGCTGTTTAAAAACATAACAATTAAAATATACAAAACTATAATTTTGCCTGTTGTCTTGTAGAGGCGTGAAACTTGCTCTGTGACATTACGGGCGGAACATAGACTGAGGGTGTATGAGAACAGGGTTCTGAGGAGAATATTTGGACTGAAGAGGGATGAAGTGACGGGAGGTTGGAGACAACTGCATAATGAGGAGCTTCACAATTCATACTCTTCACCAAGTATAGTTAGAATGACTAACTATCAAGGAGGATTTGATGGACAGGACATGTTTCATGAATGGAGGAGAAGTGGAATACTTGTAGGATCTTAGAGAGATAGGATGGGCTGGTATGGACTGGATTGATCTGGCTTAGAATAGGCATGAGTGGAGGGCTCATATAAACACAAAAATTAACTTCTAGGTTCTGTAAAATGTTGGAAAGTTTTTGAGTCGCTGCACAACTGACAGCTTCTCAAGAAGAGCTCAGTTAAATTAAGGTAGTTCATTTACCATTGTCCCTTAACTACCTTTCACCTCAAACAAACTATCCCAATACATATGTCTACAGTATCAGTGGTGTGGCAGTTTATTAGTGTGAAAGAGTTTTCCTAGTGTTCATTCCATGTGATCACATGATAATTCTGTGTATTTCAAATTTTCAGATACAAGGCCTACAAAGAAAGAATGCAACGGATGTATGTCGTTCCTCGTTATGATCCTGTCTTTGTTGAGCCTAATCTCAAAGAATATGAAACACAAGTAAGTTTAAATTATTTTACATTGGCAAGGATGCATGATTAAATATAAACAATACAGCATACATAACTTAGATTTCATGGATAACCACGATTATATGAAGGCAGTAAGTAGGCTGACCTATGGACATACTTCCTGTGGGGTAACACATATTAGTGTGCATGAAAATAACTACAGTAGAACTTGGTTATAACGTCATCAAAGGGACCTAAAAATAGTGTCGTTATAAATGAATGTCGTTGTAACCGAAATGGGCACTTCCACAGTAGCCTTATGTTAGTCACATAAAAATCTACCAAAAACCGAGTTAAAATGTTGCATTTTTTAGTGAAATACATAGTTAAGTACAGACTAACGTAACATTAACGTGGAATTGCCCAAATGTGTAATATCAAAGACATATTACAGCGCTTTTCACTGACAATACACACCGCACTAATACTGTATATTAAAGGTAGGCCTACTCACCAAATTACAGTAGATTACATCAATTGTTGTGCCTTACTGTACCTAGATACGAGTACAGTAATCAGTTATCTTCATCTGTTTCCTGTTACTTGCCCAATACACACTTTCTAAATTACGTTCAATGTCCATATCAGAGAAATTGAGGAATAAAAATGACGTTACATACGAGGTTGATGCATTTGTGCATGTCGTACTAAGCAAGGTATAAAAATAGTTGCTTTATGAGGAATTAGTTCGTACCATTGAATATGTGACGCAATAGACAAGGTGTCGCAGAAACCGATGTTGCTATAACCAAGTTTTACTGTATATAATTATATTTGAGAATTTTCTTAGTGAAAATTATGTAAGTGAATGCATATGATGTCATAATACATAGTTTTCTCCTTGTTTACATTAAAGGTTCTTCAAATGAGTGTACCACTTGATGACAGTGACAGCTACAATGACTTGCAGCTGGATTTTAGTGGTAAAAACCATGCTTTTAGCTTAGATAATGTCAGCTACATTACTAAGGAGAATGGTGACAGTATAGGTAAGAGCAGAATTATACACTCTCCAATCAAGCAAGTGATTCAGTATTGTCCTCTGTGATACACAATGAGACGTTTTATAAGAAAGTCCACCTGTCTATCGTGAACGCTTGTAATTTCAGGACAGCAGAGCCCAGTAAGTTCTGATGCAGCAACAACTGCTCGAGCTTCCAGCATTGTGGGTGGAGTTGACATGGGTCGTGGTCACTCAAGAGGTGAAAGTGACCATAATAATCTTATGGGACATGATCCACCACTCATGCCTGTCACAAATCCTATGTATCAAAGGTGAGATTCTGCTGCTGGCTATTAATTTCATTTTCACTACCCAAGTATAAGATATGGGATTTGAGTTTCTTATAGCAGGGTATATGAAGAATATGACCTAAAGGTTTGTAGCGCAGTGTAGTTCAGAGAAGCCCAATGTTGCAGAGGAACATATTGCTTTCATCTTCTTGCAATGTTCCCTACTTCTTGTTGGTTATTTTCTTGGCTTACTATTTAGTCCTGAAGATGAAGGTGATTTGTTCCTCTGGAATGTTTTCTGAATTACACTGCATTAAATCCAGAAGACTATAGCGTATAAATCAAGTGCAAGATATGACTGATATTTGTAGATATGTTATATCAAGCAACTGAACTGAGTTTTTGATCACTTCCTTAGTAAATGTTTTCTCTCAAACTTACACTATTTCTGAAATTCTTGAATTAATACACCTAGGCATATGTCTATGCACTGAATAGATTTCATATTTACTATATTTACTCAACCAAAATAGAAAAATAACACAAAAATTAATTTTAATACTTCCTGTGTTTTGAATAGAAATTTTTGTTAGCACACTTGATTTTCAATTTTCATACCCTGTACTGAATATTGTTTGAATAGCATCATCCCCCTTTAGGATTTATACCCAAATATTACAGCTGATTCTACAACAGTGAATAATTATAATGGAATTTAATATGATGATAGTGTTTTTAAATGATCTTAACAGTAACTGCTTATCCAACATGGGTTATGACATTCATTTGATACTATTAATATAGACTCAGTCTTGTGCAATAAACATTATGATGTGATTGCACAGAACTAGTGTCCTTATTATTGATTTTGTATGTTTATACTCATGTATGCTGTGCAGGTCTTCAGAAGAAGATATTGGTCATATGAATGCAAGTGCCACCAATGAAAATGTAACATTCAGAGAGAAGAGGGACTACTCTCACCTTGGATTCACTTACTTGGGTGACAGGTCTCCTGTGGAAACAACCACTGAACTCTAATATTCAAGCTATATCTTTACTGTTGAATGTGGACTACAAAATACAACAGTGGTGTATGTGGCATTATGACTGTAATTGGTTAATTATACAAAATGAAACCTCAGGCTTCTAATTGTACAGCAGTGTTTCAGGTACAAGGCGTTTCAGAGATAGTAGCAGGAAATTTTAGACGTAGGTTTCCCAACACATACATTTAAAAAATTAAACTTCAGTGAACAAATAAACTATTAATGATGCAGAGTTTTGGTTATCACAAGAATGTAGCAAAATAGGTTTACAGTCTGTCTGAACTTATCAGAAATAGATGTCTCATTTGCCTTCCCAGAAATCTGAAGCTCTCATAAATTGTTTTTAAAATTTGTATAACTCTGAACGTCTACCATTTACACATAGTCACATTCGAAGATTGAAATAAAGAGTTATAATCTTAATTTACAATCAATCAAATATTTTTTCTATGAAAAACTATATGTGCAATTGTGATACTGCTGTCTCTTGGCAGTAAGCTCAAATACTCAATGAAACAATGTACTTATTAACTATGGTTAAATAAGTTGTTGTTCTTTACTGTGGTGTGTCTACTTTTTTGATATTCACAAAGAACTTTTGCCTTTTCTGTGGATTTTATGAGACGTGAACAATGTAACACAATCAGTGATGATATTGTTAGTTGTACATGTTCTTGTGATTTCAGTATGTTGCAGATATACTGAAATGATTACAATGAATGTTGGTAGCCAGATCACCATAGAAATATTAATATTGTATGACAACTGATTCTTATTGCTAAAGCAGAAGTGTTATGCGTAGGTACATATTTTCTGTGAAGTTCAGTAACTATCACATAATCTGAATTGTTGAAGAATAATGTGAATTTTCTAAGTATTTAATATGTTAACAAATTTATAATATTAAAATAGTAAATCTCCTTTTTTAAATTAGACAATATATTATTTTATTACATATGAAATAAATTCTATCATTACTGTCAGTAGCTAAGTAAAATTATAATAGTGACAGAAGTGACAGAAGAGTGAATCATTAAGTTTTTGGTCAATTCTAGGCACTTTTGTGAAATAACTAAATTTTATCGGTCATGCACTATATATGATACATGAACTGGCTATGTGTGTTCTGGGACGTATTTCTAACAGGCTTTACTCATGTACTAAATAACGTCCAGTATTTACATGATGAGAAATGCAAAGAAGAGTATGAAGTTTGGCTATAAATTTGCACCATCGTAGAAATGTCCCATTTTGAACCGTTTTTTTCTAAGTCTTCCCACTATATGCAAAGAAAATAAAAACTAAATGCATTGCAGTCAGTGAGGTGAGAAGCAGTGCTAGAAATATTGTGATTAAGGCAAGATTTCACTGAAGTCTAGTAGCTAACTTCTGGCTAAGTGCTAAAATCCATGAATAGCTTGTAGTCGTGAGTGGTGTTTTGATTTTGTATGCATGCTGTCACAAACTGGAATGATTTAAATGTGTCTGGCATGCCTGTAAGGAGCAAGAAATTTATAAAGTATTCAGCATCATGCTTGTAGATCTTTTTATGCAGGTGCTGGTTGTGCCAACAAATCTACATATTTAAATCTAAGAATAGAGAAATTGCATAACCATAGCATATGTATGTTTCAGGGCTTGATTTTTTTAAAGGAATGAAAAATATGGACTTCAATCCCATTTCCCAAAAAATATAATAGTATATCAAATAGAAAAGTTTTTTTTTGGCTTAACATTCGTTTTAAGATTGTGTTGATTTTAAAGGAAGTGCAAGTGCCACACCATTCCTTTTGATATTAAGCCCTTTGTTAGATTTAAGTATAAGAATATGCACTGAGCACAGTGAGAATAAATCAAGGACAAAAAGACAACACAACGAAGCTTAATACCAGTAGATCACAAATTTTAAGTTTTATTACAATGAAAATATACACATAATATATAGAAAAATGTGATTACTTTCAGTGGAGTCTTCTTCTTCAATATTCAGGTGAAAAGTACACTTTGATTTGTTTTATTTTATGAAGAGAAGGATTTATTTAATATTGGAAACCATATGACTGAAGTAAATTCTGTATCTACTCTTAAACTAAACTTTTATGTGTTTTTCCATATTTTTCTTTACACTTCGTGGTTGGAGCGAATTTACAACTAATCCATTGAGCGAGCCCTAGCTTTAGAAATTAAATTCTAAATACAGGTAGGTATCAAAAAACATTAATTTACATAATTTTCAAATGCCCCTATTAAAGTTATTTTAATTGGGAACGTTTGAGCTACTTGTGAGACACATATAAAGGGTAAAATTTAAGCATATAGTAAATACAGTTAGTGCCTTACATGTTATTGTCAGGTCTCCCTTTCATATGTAACTGGTATAATCCAGTAGTTGAAAAAAAATCTGTCTTGCTGTTCTCTTTGTAATTTTGTTTTATTTTTAAATTAAGGTTTTTATAGTTCATTTAATATTCTGAATTTAGTGGAGTAGTTACAGATTTGTGTATATATGTTAATACTGAGTAAATAGTAAAGAAACGCAGTCATATAAAACAGTTCAGGTATAGGTCATTCATTCATGTTTTAAGGAAGATGTGTTTCAAGTTAAATTATGCAGTTTTTAATTCCATGATCAAACTCATCTTTTATCATGACATATATCTGTCACCATCTGCATTAAGATAATTATACCTATACACTGAAATTCTTTTCAGGCAAAAATTCAGTACTTTATTTTTCAAGATTTTAATTTTGATTACTCTTGATAAAAGAGAAAAACAGTGGTATTTTCTTGGTTATCTGTATATATTTGTCATATAAGAATGCCAAACAAATTTTTAAAAAGTCAATTATGTGACGTTATGTTGAAGATTTTAGAGTGTACAAATCATTATTTGTAATGTAGTGTACATATAAGGATGAACACTCATAAATTTTGTGTTTCATATATCTCAAAGCAGAATCAATCTTCATGCATAATTATGTTATTGTATGTGAAAAGAGTGTAGTGAATTGTTTATTTTGTATGCTGAAAATACTGTGTAATTAATGTCATTGTTACTATTAGAGGACTCTGAAATGAATAAATGTGATTCTTATTTCATTAGGCATCAGTGATCTGTGTACTAATGTATAACATCGTTTTATTAAAATTAAATTATTGACTGCTATGGAAGTTTACATAAAAGAAATGTACTCATTGCTGTAAGTGGTTAACAGCTCAGTGTACAAAGTTTCTCGAGTGTTTTTGTGTATTTGCTTTCACACAGTTCAAGAAACATATTGAGACATGTATGATGCTTGTCATACAATGTAATAAGAACATTTTTAAAATTCTTCTTTGCCATACATCTTTATAAGTCTAGTGTGGAGGGTAGTGTTTGAAGATGGAGAAGACCATAGTGTGATTTCGTGTATCACGCACACTTCAAATTTTACTAACTTTTAACTTAAGAATGTTGTCAGCAACTGATATAAACCTATACAAACTCCAAACAGGATAGGGCTCTTGTTCCCTAGATGTCATTGTCATAATTTTAAAGGAATTTACTTGAATGACAACAAGTATTATATGCAAAAAGTTATCTATCTCCAATTAAACGTGAGTGGATTTATATAATTTATTCTTCTTGACAAACACCTGCTAGTCTTTGAACATTCAATTATAAATATTCTGTGTCTGAGAGATAACTGATTCTAAATATATTTCGATTTCTTTTAGCATTTTGTTTTGGGTTGATACCCCCTCTCCTAGGAGTGCTCCTTGACAAGACAGGAGAACATTTTGATCTTAAGAAAGATGACCACAAATGGAAGACAGATAAAACTAGTGTAATGATGTGGGAAGGTGCCTGTAGATGCTATGAGACTTCATACAGGACTATAGTTGGACATTTCATATTATTGAAATTTAAGACCTATATGGATTTGCTTCAAGAGAAACTTAGTTATATCTGACATCATTTTTTGCTTTCTTAACTTATAGCATGTCTGTTTGCAGTAACAGCTCAATAAGCATATCAAGATTACATTCCAAAATAATGGAATGTATTGATAATTAAAATTTATTTTTTATGATGCTCTTTTTATTTAATTTTATATTGCCGTTTTGCTATGTCTGCTTGTTTGGTGTTTTTAGCTTTGTGCAAGGCTGATTTGCACTGTTTACATTCATCACTACTGGCCTGCAAAACGCTTCATGGCCAAGTATATAAAATCAGTGTGAATTTTTGTTTCTGCAGTAACAATGAACTATTATTTTGAAAGTTATTAATTGGCGTTTTATCAGTCTGGTTCCATGATATGTGTGTCCCATCGTTTTACTAAGTGTGATGCATAGAGTACACAGCATTTTAATGGAAGTAGAATATTTGGTCATCGTGATAAAGGGCAGTTGATTTTTTTCAGTTTGTTGATAGTTTTAACATAATATGTGCAAGCGTTTTTTTTATTATTTATTGTTAGTGGGGTGGGGCTAAGTCCCTTGTACTGTGGCCACTTCTGGACTAATGTACCAGCCCCGGATGATATGTGAGGGTGATTGTGGAGCAGTTGGTGGAATGAAGATTGGCAAGGGAAAGCGAAGTATTCGGAGGAAACCTGCCCCAGCGCCACTTTGTCCACAACAAATCCCACTTGACCAGACCCGGGATCGAAACCGGGCCGCCGCAATGGGAAGCATGTATGAGCGTTAGTGTGCATAGTCTTAATTTTCAGGGAGGCTTGTGGACCATGGTTGGATACCAGTTACTTCATTGCACCTTTTAAAGACACTGTAACAGAGATCTGCATTAATGATATTATGTTCCCAAATAATTTACTTTAGTGAACCTAAACTAAATTTTATCACCACAAAGAAGAATTTTTTTATGTGGTGTTACATTACTGTTTTGTTATTAACGTGTACTTTTGGTTTCTTGTTTGATTTTCCGCTTTTCTATGTAAATTTATCGTCACTGAAAGTGCTCTGAGTCTGAATTAATACATCATTTTTATATGATTGCCTCTCTCTGCAGTGGTGGAAATGTAACTCTTCATATTGCCATTCGGAATTTTCGATTTCTAGTATCGAAACTGAATTGATATCTCAAATCGCATTGCAAAGAGATGCAGCTGTGACTAACGTTTTGCCACTTGCTATCGCATAACCAGACATGTTTGCAACTCATGACATTGTTTTGAGTTGTTCGTGGTTAACACTTAAAAGTAGTAGTGTTACCACATCGATTTAACGATGTTGATAGTACAGAATAGCACGTGCGCATTAAATTTTGCTCGAAGATCGAAAGAACCATTTTATTGTAGAGCGACATCCAAAAGCGGAAATTTTACAGAACATTTTCCCTTGTTTGCATATTGTTGAATGGTAACCGATTTGTTTTTGTTGATGCTGCGACCATTAATTGACAACCATTAACTACGTTATGCAACAATGTAAATAAAACTTTTAAATTTAGGACACCAATAACGGTTCTCGTCATATGTGTGGATATTTCGTTGTATTTATTGTGACGTAGTTTTGAGAGTATCCGTTCTTTCGACTGGGTAGCGGAAATATTTATCTCTTGGGGGTGGCTGTTATGCTTGTACCGAACCTGAAGAAACTACAACCGAAGTTGAGGGATGTCTGGTGCCCTGTCAGTGAGCACCAGGGTGACAGATCCAAGGGTAAAACGGTCGGAGCGTAAAGCTGGCGACGAAATGTATTCAATTATTAAGGTTAAGAATGCGTGGAGCTATGCTTCTATACCGGGATAAGATTTTTGTGCTTCAAGCGCGGTGGCAACTTAAGACATAGGATATTTTAATAACAAAGGAACGCCCAGCCTAAGAAAAATATAAATTTAGCCTTTTATTAGCTGTATCTGTTGGAAAGAAACAGCTCTTGAACCTGGAAGATTCACTTATGAAATAAGCATAACGAAGCTTGTTAACAATATGAAGTGAAGAACTGCAAAGGTCTTCATTACGTGATTGTGTATATCCTTCCTTTGGTGTATAAGCTTATGCATACAGGCATCACGCCAAATTACATCTCTGTGGACAAAATCGATTTCAGCAGCGCCTCATCCAGGTGTGTTTATATTGACATGCGCGTAGAAGAGCAAAAACAGAAAGGAAACCAAGACGTCTTGGTTGTCCAGATTATATAGTACTGTTATATCGGAAAGAATACAAAATGCGTATTAATTTTACAAACATTCGTGCGCATTCTCCAACGACAAATACTGTGCGACGCCCCAGTCGTGGTCCAATCGCTAGAGCAGTCGGGTGTATCTCTGCGTTTTGTCTTCCCTCGTATCGTGAACTAATTGAACCTCGGGTCATCTGAAGCTGGGCTTACAGACGCCTGTGAACTTAGCTAACAGGTAACAACCTGTTATTGCAGGTAGTAGTTTACCTGTATTGAAAGTTCCGATTTTAAAATGCCAAGTTTCTCTGTGGTGATTTTCAAGTAGAACAATGAAACCTTTAAGTAATGAGCAAATAATTAAAATAAGTGGAATTATGTAGACAGAACTGAGAATCTATGCAGTTTTTTAGTGTTATTCAGTCCATATTCATTCGCCATATGCATCACATGGGCCTTGTTTAAATTGTGATTTGTACGTATGGACATCTGGTGGTCTGTTTGCGAAATGATGTGAATGTTTATGGTATCCAGTTGTCAAGTTGCAAACGATTATAGACAGTGCTCATTTGGCTCCTTTCTTCCCCTTCTTCTGCATTTAATCATAGGTAAGTTTAAAAAATGATAGAAGTTACATTAACTTATTACAATTGAGTTAAATTAATGTTACGATAATCATGTAAATAATTTTCTTTTTATATTTCTTCTAATGATAATGTAATTTTAGTACAGAGTTAATATTTTAACCATCGAACATTGCACGAATTATGTGTTTAGCTGTGAGAGGAACTTATGTCGAGGCTAGTATAAACCTAGATATGATTTTTAATGGAACATTTCTGTGCCTAAATTCCTGTATCAGAGCTCCCGCCTGTCCCAGATATAACTGCTAATATTCGCGCCGTCGCCACGTTTCTAACTGTTGACATAAATATATGATATGCTTAGATGTCAGTGTTCTCCGTACCTAATTGCAGATGCAATTGCTGTATAACGCGTGGCCACCATGTTTTATATTACGCAGGAAAATTACACTTTTGAAGATTTAGTACGAAACACAAATGGCCGTGTATTAAGATTGCGACAGAGTAGTTCACAGATCGGAAGTTCGTAGTGGAATGGTATAGGCCTACACGCATTTTCCTGACGGGTTATTTTCTATTTTGTATTCCTCAGTCTTGATGTTAATTTCTTGAAAATATATATCTGTTGTTGCAAAGCAAATCGTATTGTAATTTTGTTACTTAGCGTTGGCCTATAGTCATAAGATATTTTTTCTTGAATTTTATTAAACCATTTATGGCTAAAAGTGTTTCAAATATAAGTTGTGGCTATTATCACAATTTATATTTTATATACGTACCAATATGTTTTAGGATGATGTGTTTTGAAAAAATAAAATATAAGGTAAGGTTTATGTTGGATCAATATGAACGAAGATTAAATTGTGGTTTTTATAAATAACATTATTGTCGTTTCTTTTATTTTATTAAGAAAGCAACAGTCTAATACAATTTAATCAATAAGTGCTCATTTCACCCCACATGTTCCAACTGCGAGACCGAAAATGAATGTGGCCTAATGGCACATATACGCAGGGTGAAGTAGTCATTTATTAATTAAAGTATGTACTTATTAGTCAGTGACTTTCTGAACAGGAAATTACATTCACATAAACTTGTAATGTAGATTCCGAAAACCAGTCTTTCTCTGTGAGATGCCTGTAGTAGTTGGTCATGCTTTTCGCCACGTATATCGATTTGGCAACATGAAGAAGCATTAATGCTTTAAGTTTGTGCAGTCGAATAAATTATGTAGTGTCTGTCACATGCCATCTGTCAGTTCCTTTGAAATAAATTCGGATTGCGTGAAAGAAACTGAAGTCAAATACCAACTCAATGCTTGTAACTCACCGGTTTTGTTACAGCCTTTATTAAATTTAAACCACTGTAGCAAATTGATATATTTCGAAGGACGATATTGTATAATTGTATGACAATAACTTTATCACGCTGTTCTATCACAGTACAATAAGGAGCTATCTTCGACCGCTCGAACACTGAGATCGCTGGTTCGAATCCCGCTTGAGGCATGGATGTCTGTGTGCGTTTGTTCTGTGTTTGCGCTGTCCTGTGTGTGCAGGTAGCGGCCTTGCGACGGGCTGATCCCCCGTACAAAGTGTCCTACCGTTTGTGTAAAATATCAAGGAACTGGAAAGCGACCAAATTCCAGCAAAGAGTTGTAGAGTCATGGATGGACGGACGGACGGACGGATGGATGGATGGATAGGTAGGTAGGAAGATCTGTTACTTCGGGGGCTTCTCTTAAAACGAAGTCTCCTATTTATAGGTTATGATACTTGACTGCCGTTCTTTCTTCTGAAGTACAGCAATCTTTTGTTCCAAATCTGGGAGCCAGCAATCCATACATTAAAGTTCCTAATTTACGAGAAAAGCACTGTCATTTTATTGAATCAATTCACTATTTCTACTGATTCGTTTAGTTTCTCTGCTTCATCAAGTATCTGAATAAATATAGTGTGCAAAGTAGCATTT